TGACTTAACGCCTGTTTCACTAAAATTACATCTCTATATAGCATATGGTACGAGTGTCTCTTCTGACTTCATGTCTTGAAGATATCGCCATTTTTATTTGGTGTTGTAATGAGCTTTTTGTTCGTGTGTTTTTAGGTCTTTATTCTTTTTTTTTACTGTCTGTCTTTCGCCTTTCTTTTAATGTTTCTGTCAATTTTCTTCTAATTCTTGATGCTTATTGTCATTTTTCCTATTCTTGCGATAGAACATTTTTTTCTTTCGTTCTTTTTAACTACTACTTTTTTCTGTACTATTTTGTCTTCCTCTCTATTTTCCTACCTTCCTTCCTTCCTTCCTTCTACATGGATTTTCTAAGCGAGGTTTAGATGTGGCACATGGCCAAAAGTATGGGGCACACAGTGAGGAACGAACTCACTATTCATTTGTAACAGTTTTAGCAAGACCAGCTTGCTAACCATTACACTACGCCGAGGCGCCCACTTCTTTCTACATTGTATCATGTTTTTCATTTTCACATCTTTTTCTAGTTTTTAGTTCATTTCTTCTCTCTCTTCTCTCTCTCTCTCTTTCTCCCTTTGTCTTGTTATTTTCTTTCTTTTTTCCTATTTTTCTCTCTCTTATTATTTCTTTCTTTCTCTTTTTCTAGTTACTGTCACTCTCTCTTTTTCTTGTTATTTCTCTCTCTCTCTCTCTCTTTCCCTCTCTCTCTTGATATTTTCTCTCTTGATATTTTCTCTCATATTTTTATCATTTTTCTCTGTTTCTCTCTGTCTGTCTGTTCTTGTCATTTTTCTCTGTTTCTCTCTGTCTGTCTGTCTGTCTGTCTGTCTGTCTCTCTCTCTCTCTCTCTCTCTCTCTCTCTCTCTCTTTCTTTTTGGATATTTTCTCTCTCTTTTTCTCATTATTTCTCTCTCTTTCTTGATATTTTCTCTCTTTTTTCTTGTTATTTCTCTCTCATTTTTCATGTATTTTCCCTCTCTCTTTCTCTCTGTCTGTCTCTGTTTCTCTCCCCCTCTCTCTCTCTCTCTCTCTATCTCTCTATCTCTCTCCTATTATTTTTATCTGTCTCTTTTGATATTTCTCTTACTTGTTCGTCTTAGTTCTATCTCTCTATTTAATAGTTATCCCATCTCCCTCCCTCTCTCTTCTTGGTATTGATCTCACTTTTATTTTCTCTCTCTCACTCTCTCTCTCTCTCTCTCTCTCACACACACACACACACACACACTTTTTATCTCTTATTTTTTTAATTATTTCTTTCAATTTTCTTTCTTCTTCCTTAATTCAAACTTCTCGCTCGCTTACTTTTTCTTTCTTCTTTTGCATCCACCGATCCTTCTCCGGCTTTTCCCCTTTTCAATTTCTCTTTCTTTTTACTTCAGCTTGAATATTTCCGTTCACAGTCTTTGTTGTCTTTATTCAAAAGAGCCGAGAATTAAGAAGGCTGTACTTAGAGAGAACATCACATATGTAGGGAAAATGAAGAAGAAAAATATTTTTTTTTAAATACTCATACATACAACGGAAATACTTGAGTAAATCAAATACTACTCTAATCCTAATCTAATGTGTCTACTTGCCATATTTATAAGTAGAAATAGTCATAGTAATAGGTAAAAGCAGGAAGTACGCTAAGCCCTACTCTACAATACCTTCCATATTTAAACTGTCAGCTGTTTACAACTGTTTTCTTAGATGAATGGTTCAAAATGGCTTCGAGTAGATAAAGCCCGTAGGGATTAGAGAGAACCATCCTTCTTATAACGTTGTGGACTGGCGCTATATAATCGAAAACAAAGAAAGCATATCACATGAGGACTTTGATTAACAGAAACTGTTAAAATGGACATGAAATGTAACTAGAAGAGAAAAAAACAAGATGTTGAAGTTCCACGTTACTTTAAACAAAAGGTTAGGAAGGAAACTTCCATCAATACTGGAAAGAGTTAATAGTCATGAGAAACCTATTTGCTTGAAAGATTATTTTAGAATAAAGTTTTATTAAATTTCAACTGAAAGTAATACTGGCTGCTCAGTCAATGAATACTGAATGCTTCCTTATATGGAGAGAGCTATTATCACGATTCCTATTAGAGATGAGGTGAACAGATATTACACTTTGATTATAGCACAATTGCCAGGTAGGGAAGTGTTATGGTAATTTACCAACGCACGCATGGACTCCCCCAACTATAAATAGGAGCAGGTACTGCCTTTTAGAGAGGGAAGTTTCCAGCAGTCAACTCTGACAGTCGGACCGAACATTCTTGCTGTAACACTCTCGTTTGTATATGTTTGTATTACTGTTTCTGTTAATATATTTGTTTAACTCAGTTCCTCCCTTTGTGCCTTTATATCTGGCCCTAACAAGGCCACAACAGGAAGAAAAGCGTAAATCGATTAGCATATGTTGTTTTTTTATTTATTTTGCTTTTTGTTATGCTTTTTCGGCTTTTGCAGTTTATTTTTGGATTGCATTACTTTTTTGTCAATAATAATGATTTTCTGATACAAGTAATACTAATTAACCCATAGATAGGGAGGGAATAGATGGATTCATACATTTCCCAAGGATATTTCCACGTAAGTGAATATAACGAACCCAACCGGAATTGGAACTCGGCTCTCCGATTTTCAATGTCCACCCGCATATCCAAGCCTACGGCACCTGGTATTTTGAAGCGGTCACCCATCTAGGAACTCAGCAGGCTTGAGAACCGGTGATAAGGCCGTAAGCCTGTATGCTTCTTTATGAGGAATCAGATAATATTGCTGTTACCTTTAGAGATGAAGAGAACACATACTACACTTTGATCGCAAAACAAGTGGCACCGGCTGCTCGGCCAGCGAATGCCGTATGTTTCCTTATAAGGAAATGTCTAATATTACGATTACGATCATATTTGATTGGTTTTCCTTTTCTTCCTCTTTTTCGCTCTCTTTTCTCTCCCCCCTCTCTCTTTTTTTTCTCTCTCTCTCTCTCTCTTTCTCTCTCTCTCTCTCTCTCTCTCTCTCACTCTCCAACTCTCATTTGCTATTTTTTAATTTCCTTCCTTTTTCGTTTTTTCTTTAACTGATTATAAACTCAGTTCATTAGGAAGACAAATCCGAATCTCGGAATTGTGAAGACATTTTATTTTATCTTCAATTATTTTTAAAATCAACAGATGACGTCTTCTGACGTAGACACTGTTTTTACAACATGGCGCTGAACTGCAAAGTTGGGGAATTTCAGAACTGCTTGAATTGCATTTTGCAAAATCGGAAATTTTATACAACACCATTTGGATTTATCAAGTGAACATTGTCGACTTTCGTGCAATGTGCAAATTAGCGTTATTTTTTCTTTAATAATCATGCTTTAATAGTTTAAAATAACTTTATTTATTACAAGAATTATTTAATAGCTAGCTAGCTAGATAGATAGATATGATCAACTAAGATACATATAAACAGACTGAGATAGATAGATAGATAGATAGATAGATAGATAGATAGATAGATATGATCAACTAAGATAGACAGATAGATAGATAGATATGATCAACTAAGATAGATTGATAGATAAATAGATAGATAGATAGATAGATATGCAAAGAATGAGATAGATATGCACAGATTTAAACTAGCTATATATATATATATATATAAGTACCTAGATAGATATTAGTACATATATATATATATATGTATATATGTATATTACATATAAAGCGTGAAACCCAGGGTCACAAACTCACATCTATCCAAACAAATATCTATCTATCTATCTATCTATATATCTATATATATATATATATATATATATATATATATATATATATATATATATATATGTATGTATTGCATATTTTAGCAGAAACCTTTTGTACATGTTACATTGAATGTGACAGATAAGGAAATTCTTGTTATTACAATTATTATAATTTTATATTAATATGAGATTGTCCATGCTTACTACATCAATGAAACTTGTAAAGGGTGTTCCCATAACTTGAACCGATTTTAAATGCGAATTAAGTTTAAAATTAGTCCAAGTGGTTAGAACACACTTGATCTTGAGATATATATATATATATATATATATATATATATATATATATAGAGAGAGAGAGAGAGAGAGAGAGAGAGAGAGAGAGAGTGAAAGAGAAAGCGAGAGATAAACAGACTGAGATAGATTTGAAAAGACTAGATAGATAGATAGATAGATAGATAGATAGATAGATAGATATTAACAGACAAACGAGAATTTACTTTTATTTCCTAGTGTATCTAAAATACTGAATCACTGAAAACTTTTGCGTTTCTAAACTTTCAATGTTTTTCGCGTAACAAATAGATTTAAAAAAATAACAGTCTAATATTCTCTAACACGTCATTGAAATTAGAAAATATATTAAAATTGTGAGATTTATAAATAAAAATCACCTTTTACCATTTTCTTTGCCAGATATCTCTATTATTTAAAACAATATCGGCACTCTTTTCGATAAAAGACAATTTCCAACGAAGCAGTAATAAATAATTCGAGAACCATTTCTTTTCTTTTTTTGTATTATCCAAAACATGACGCCGTTCGTTTATATTCGAAAACACGATTTAATTACGTTACACCCGTTTCTGAAATCTGGACTGTAATATTTTAACAATATGTTTCTCAAAGACAACTCATTTATAAAGATCTTGTCAAAGTGGCATTTCGAATCAAGTGAATGACGATGAAACAAAATATATACAAACTTTTAATCAGCTATTTAAAGCGTCAAGCCTCACCTTGCTCTCCCTCTGTTGATGATGTTTTATGGTTTTGCTGATAGTAGAGGGACAAGATAATGCATTGCTTTTTGAGTTAAGCTGTTTTCCTTAGTACGGAATACGGCCTCATCGAGTAGATATTAGCCATTAAACTCAACTGGCTGTGCTCGGGTCGCAAAACCTATTTACAAAACCGACTGCATGTGTTAATTTTGGTAAACCTACAATAAAAAGAAGAATATTAA